GTTTTTCTAGTAACAAGATCTAATGATAATAACAGAATATCCTCTATTGAGAACAAAACTGAGAAAGAAGCGAACAAACAAGAAGGAAACACTTTTCACAATTGGGATGCCTGAAAGAAACAAATGTTAATGATTAAACCGTTCTTTTATTGTTGTACGAGCTGCTTCTGTGGTTGGTTGCATCCTGGTAAACATATCTCGTGGAGGCTATCTGCGTATCAAAAGACTTTGTAAAGTACGATTTAATATTGTACCAAGAATTGGTCGTGTATTCTTGAAATGTGATCCTGGATAAACAGAACTTTTGCCATATTTGATGATATTCTTTTTTGAAATTTAATAATGGTCCATTTTCGAACGTGTAATGAAGATAAATTTGATCTTTATGTTCATAGTTTTTCGTGTTTCGAATTAATTGACAAAGACTCGAGATTTATGTTTTGTTTTCTCTTTTTGTTGGTCTGTAAAGTAACATATTATGTAGTTGTTGATTGACTTCACTGTTTAATTCAGTCCATATACTCATAGAATCATATTTAACAAAGAATTTTTTTATATAATGTTGTATAAATTTTGGTGGATAACCGTTAACTAGTAATATCATTTCTGTACTTAATCGTTCCATATCAAAATCTTCCATATTGGAACAGCTACGTGCAGCTTGCACTAATGCAGTATAAATTATATTCGCATGAATGTGTCTTGCATGATCAGATTCATAAGGTAGAATATAGGGTTCTGAAGCTGATTTATGATAAATAGATGTTTTTAAATATCCATTATTATTTTCAATAGTAACATCAAGATATTCTAATGATTGACTGATAGTAGTAGTAATTTTAACATTTGAATCTGTGTTAATGGTTTCATCAAGTTCTTTCAGAATATTTTCTTTGGATAAATTAGTTGTCATAAATACATCGTCAATATATCTATAAATATTTATGATTATTAGAGTAAAGAAAAGTAACTAATAAATGCAAAATTAACCGTCCATAAATTTCATGATGTCTATTTTGGTGTTGAATTAATTTTTGCTCCAATTCTAACATATAAATATTTGCTAAAACCATAGTAAATGGTGAACCCATGGCACCATCTTTAATTGATTAGATGCCTTATTTGAATTTCCGGACATCCCTATAGCTTCCTGTTTATCAAGATATAGAAGGTATAGGAATTGAGTTTTTCGAGCAAGGGTTGGCAAGTGACACCAATATATTTAATGAATAGATGTTTAAATTCAAATACTATCGAATGATCATCTGTACCAATTAATCAATATCTCCTATACCTCCTCTACATCCAGCAACAGAAAATGAGATAAGCTACCGGAAATTCAAATAAGGCATCATACGCTTTAATTTGTCGATAATACTTATCTTTATAAGCAAATGAATTGG